TCCCTCCGCCTCGGGCAACCGGGCCCGCGGGCGGCAGCGGATTCCCGACCCGGCGCCTCGGTGGTTTGGTTAAATGAAAGTACGTGGGAAGAGCTTAAGCCAAGGCGCATGTGCACTGCAATTAAATAACCACTGGTGAAGTGCCCGGCGCTGCTCCGAGGAAGAGTCATTAGAGGCCCAGGGCTGCAGGTGGGGGAGCGCTCCTCCGTGCGGGATGCGCAGCCGGCACCGTAACAGGCATCTGCTAATGAGAGACTCCTCAATTTCCATCCTTCTTCCCCTCTGAAGTTGCTCTGCTTGCTGTTTTAAATGTTTATTCACAAGGTCAGCACACGTAGGGCAGGCTTCGTCTTTATGACTTAAAAAACCCCAACTTTTTAGCCTAAGGAAGGAGAGAATAAATAGAAAATTTTGAAATGATGTGATTTCCCCATGCTATAAATACAGCACAGGGAAACATTCTGGGCTGGCAGAAGAATAAGCAGTTTGGTGTTTGTAATTCGATATGGAATTAAGAAAATTAGAAACTTCTTACAATTTAGATACATATATCACATCCCTCACTGTAGTGCTGGCAAGTGAGTACTCGAGGGATTTAAAGCCTGGATGTTTGATGCTGCAGCACCCTGTCGTCCTGACTACCGTGCTGTAATTCAAATCCCTGTTTGGTATCTCCGCTCTTTGTACAGTGTTTTGTGAAAGCGGAACAGTTCGGAGAAGGATCTGGACAGTAAACAGGAGGTAGAAATGGGTTTGAGCTTTGTTTTAAGGATTGTTCATAAACTATTCTGTGTAAAATCTATACCTCCACCTCAGAGGACACCTGTTCCACGTTGCCTGGGGTAGCACCCTTTTCCACAGGCTGTCCAAAGACAACACTTCTGTACATCGGTGTAACCAGAGCTGAAGTAGCTAATCCAAAGCAACATCTCCATAGTTCTCTTCTGGATGACAAAAGCAGCACAAGATGAGAAGCACAGGAGAGCGAGGGAGGGCATGTCACCACAGTATGGGGGTGATGACCAACGAGCCACGTCCCCGTGTGAGGAGCTGGGCCAAGCCTGCAGAGCCAGGGCACGGGGAAAGTGAGTTGCTGCGGCCATCTGGGAGCTGCCTGCTTGCTGCGGGCTGTTACCTGGTGTGGCAAGCCAAGTATTGGTCCCATTAGGGAGAAGGTTTACAAGGTTGTTACTGTGATTCTCCTTAAGCGATGAAGTTTGCCTGCACTGCCTAAACAATAGCTGGGCCTAAGAACAGGCTTCCCACCCTGGCTGTCCATCACATCCGTTTGCTGACTCCACACGCCACAAGACAGTTATGAAATGTCAAGCAGAAAAGAGACCTTTAGTAAGTCTTTGGACAAAACAGCTCCTGAATACTCCCGTTACGCACAAGAGCGAGCTCTGGCATTTGCCTGGTTACTCTGCAAATACCCTGCATGGCTTGCCGCAGAGACCTGTGCTGCTGGGAAATATGCAAAAGTCTAATTTGTCAGTTTGGTTCAAGTCACATTATAGATTTACCTTTTATTCTGAAACAATTATTTATTAGTGTCTCCCCGGGGGGGCTGCAAGTGCTGAATGCAAGCCAACATCTGTCTGAAGTGTTACTGATTTGGGGACGAGTTAGAGCCTGCCTTTGAACCACAGACATCTGAAAAATGAATAACAAGAACTAAAATATTTTCTTTCTGAAAGGAGAAGCTGTATATTAGGATTGTTGTTGTCAGAGGACTTCAAACCTTGGTTATTAACTTACTAGGTGTGGGTCTTAGGCATAAGGAAATGATCTGCTGAGCAGGGACTCCACTACAGTGTTGCGTCTCAATGCAAGACATGTTGTGCATGCTTTTTCTTGATGATGAAACATTAACAATTACTTCCATGCTGGGGAAGAAAAATAGCTGCGTAGGTATTTGTGGATGGATGGCTCATGAGTCAGCTCTTACGTGGTTTTGGCTTTTATCTTCCTGGAGCGCCCCACTGCTGCTGCTCCTCTGCCAGCACAGCGTGGTTGGGTCTTGTAGGAGCCCTGCAGAAGTTTTGTCTGGTTGCCAAGCAAGTCTGTTGTTTTGGTGTTCTGCTAGCAGCCTCGAGCAGCAAAAAAGACAAATAATTTTAAAAAAGTAATAGTGTGCATCTTGGGGAGAGCTGGCAAAATTGTTTTAAATTTTTTTTCCAATCTAGTTCATTCTTGCATAGGAGAGTTTGTGTTGTGATGTGTGTGGTGCAGACGGACTCTCATTTCCGTGTCGCTACACAGCACGCTTCCGTGTTTTCCGTAGAGTGAAATGTTCCGATAAACCTTATAAAAAACCCGCTTATGCGTGCCACGAGCAACCGCGCTGCATTCGACGGCTTCGTGCTGCCTAGACCAGGAGAGCTCGGCAGAAATGGCTAAGCAAGCTCTGGAAGCTGAAACAAGACCCGATCCCTCGATGGCGTTGCGAGCTTTGTAGCATCTGGTGCTTTTCCAAGCTCCGTCCCCTACAGCCCGGACGCGGAAAACGAGGGTGGTTATCGCCGGGGCGGCTGGCGGCGCCCCCCGGCACGCCAAGGGCCTCCCCGCTGCCTGCCGCTGAGGTGAGGTCCGAGCTCAGCGGCA